GCAATGATAATACCAACATGGGCCAGTGAAGCAACATCCTCCACAACTAGACTGAAGAACAAAAGGACAGCAACTTGTCTGTTCCCCCTCCCTGATTCCCCAGCGCTGTTCCCCTCCCCCAATTCCCCAATGAAATCTTAAAAACAAGAATATTGAGGAGAATACAAGCTAGAAAGCTTTCTGGGGCATCTTCAGTGACCAGTAGTAAGTTTAGAGGAGTGTAATTTCATATCTTCTACCTAAAACCTGGCTCAAGAGAGGATGAAAAGATAGGAATCAGGTTGCCAGAAGCTACACAAATCAGTATATCCTAAGAGCTGTAGCATTGGCCCTGAGCAACGGCCTTGGTTTAGGAAGTGCTGGTTGTGGTATGGACAGAAGGCTCTAGCTAACCGACAGGTACTTAGTTCCAAGAAAGTCTCTATTAAACTCCCGTCCCCACTGGCTGTCTCATCCTGGAAGTTGAGAGCACTGCTAGACTTTATTCCCCAATAAAAATCTTTAAAAAAAAAAAAAAAAGCCTTGCAGAGTCTTTGACATGAGTGCAGCAACACTTAATTCAGCAGAGGCAGAACAGCAGCAGCAAAGGCAGAACAGCACTGAGAACCCAGCAGCAGCAGAAGAAGCCAGAACAGCAGCACAACACAGAACCCAACCCTGTTAAGCAGAACTGGGGTTTTTATAACACAATAGTGTCATGGTGCCAGCACACATGCACACTCAGAGCAACTCAAATGAACAAGTTTCCTTGCAGTCCCACCAGGACCTGGAGGAGTCAAAGCTGCCCGTCTCCAAAGCCTGTGAACATTTCCTGACCCTGGGAGGCCCTGACAGCTGGGCCCCCACAGCAGGTGAACCCAGCACTCTGCCCAATACCTGCACCTCTCTCCCCAGAAAAGAATCCAGCCAACAATTCGAAGGACTGGACTGGCTGCCCTGCGGCACTGCCTCTTCGGGCCTCCAAAGCTCCACCAGGGCCTCCGTGAAGAAAGGGACTTGGTCCTGACCATTGCTCAGTGTGAGTGTGTGGGTGCCGCCCCAGAGCAGGCGCTGCATATGTGGGCGGGCAGAGAGCATTGTTTGCCCACCCCATTACTAGGACTAACCAGGGGTCTTGAATTTACCATTTTGGGCTGGGGAGCAGGAACCAAGGGGTAAAAGTCTAGGAGAACTGGGTGTCTTGGGCGCAGTCCGGATCTACTGTGACTATACCATTCTCTGCGAAGTATTCGGTGCTCCCCGGAGGGGCAATCCCACAGAAAGCATGGGTGTGTTTTGGGGCAGGTGGCCTGGATAGCCGAGATCCAGTGCATGGCCGAGTCCTCCAGACCATCTATAAGAAGCTGACTGGCTCCAAATTTGACTGTGCCCTGCATGGAGATCACTGGGAAGATCTGGGCTTCCAGGGTAAGAGAGGAATGGTCTGTCCCCTTTTCCTGCACCCCCGATCCCAGGGTTAGAGCAAGAAGCCATACAGTCCTCTTCCTGTCACGCGAGCCCCATGAGATCAATCATCTGAGGGAAAGCATTCCAGGAAGAGAAGGTAGAGCAAAGGCCCTGAGGTGATGTGTGCTTACCTCTGTGAAATACTGCGGCTCAAGTAGAGAAGAGAGTGACAGGAGAAAAGTTCGCCTGTGGCCTGCAGACCATCGTAAAACATGTCCTCTGAGTGGATGGAAATCATGGGTGTGATAGGACTTGGAATCTAGTTTTTCTCTGTTTTCTCTTTTCCATTCAGATGGATAAAAATTTTGTTTTATAACTTTGTTTTTTGAGTGAAACAAAATGATTTCACCTGGCTTTGGATTGTGCTACTTTTTTCAAAATCATAATCAAATTATATTTGTATAGAATAGGAAAATATCTTAATTTAGAAAGGAAACTTTATATACCCATAATTGATAGTCTGTTGGTATTGACAACATGTTCAAGCCCCTTTACCCTCCCTCCTCTATAATATAATTTGTCTTAAATATTTCTTCTATATACCTTGAAAATCACATGAGGGTTAGGATTTTTGTTCCAACCATTAAGCAATTTAAAAATCTCAAGAGGAAAAGCAAAGTCTGTTGTATTTACCCATGTTAACTCTTTCCATTGTTCTGTCTTCCTTTCTGATATTCCAAGATTTCTTCTTTTATCATTTCCTTTCTGTTTCAAGAACTTCCTGTAGTCATTTTCTAAGGCAGGTATACTGGTGATAGATTCTCTTAGTTTTCCTTTATCTGAGAATGGCTCGATTTCCCTTTTACTCCTAAAGGGTAATTTCTCAGGATGTACAATTCCAGGCTGATGGTTCTTTTCGTTCAGCACTTGAAAAATGTGCTGTCTCCTTTTGGCCTCCATGGTTTCTGATGAGAAAGCTGCCTTCATTTGAATTATTTTTCCCTGATAGTTAAGGATTTCAAGATTTTAGTGTGGTTTTTTTTTTTTTGGTCTTTAGTTTTTAGGAGTTTGACTATGATATGCCTTAGTGTGGATTTCTTTGGGCTTATTCCATTTGGGGTTTGCTCAGCTTCTTGAATCTGTATGCATGTTCTGTCTTTTGCCAAATTTGGTAAATTTTCACCCATTGTTACTTTATCAGCACCACATTTTCTCCCCTCTTGTGGGACTCTGATGGCACAAATGCTAGATCTTTTGTTATTCTACAGGTCCCACAGGTTCTGTTCTTTTTTGGGGGGATCTCTTTTATAGCTCATAGATCTCCAAGGTGTTGTTCATTTTGTTTTGTTTTTCTCTCTGTTGTTTAGATTGAGTCATTTATTTTGTTCCACCTTCAAGTTCACTAATTCTTTCCTGTTATCTCTATTCTGCCGTGGAGCCCATTTAGTGAGTTTTTAATTTTAGTTATTACGTTTTTCAGTTCTAAAGTTTCTATTTGGTTCTTTGTAGCTAACATTTCTTTACTAAGACTTTCTGTTTTTTCATTTTTTTCTAAGTGTGTTAGTAATGGCTTATCAAGGTCATTTTTATGTTAGCTGCTATCATAGTTTTCTATTGTTACCGCAACAAATTACTACAAGTTTAGTGGCTATAACAACAAATTGATTATCTTCTAGTTCTGTCATTCAGAAGTCTGAACCAGGGCTCAGTGGGGAGAGGTTAGAGTAGCAGCAGGGCTGCATTTTTTTTGTTTGTTTGTTTTGTTTTTGTTTTGTTGCTCTAGGAGAAAATCCATTTCCTCACCCTTTTCACCTTCTGGAGGCCATCTGCCTTTCTCCGCCTTCATATCATCTCTCTGAGCCTGATTCTGTTCTCACATCTCTTTTTCTGACTCTTTCTGCCTCCCTCTTTCACTTTTTACTTTGTACCCACCCACATAATCCAGGATAATTTTCCTGTCTGCTGATTAGCAATCTTAATTCTGCCTGCAATCTAATCTTAATTCCCTTTGGGCATGCAACAGTTCTAGGGATTAGGACAGAACATCTTTGGAGGGACCATTATTCTGCCATTTAAAACAATGGCTGTTTCAAAATCCTTATCAGATAATTGCAACCTATGTGTTATCTCACTGTTGCTATCTACTAATTGCCTTTCCTCATTCAAATTGAGATATTCCTAGTTCTTGGTGTAACAAATGATTTTTTAATGTTTTTATTATGTCCTGGATGGTTTGGGTATTATGTAATGACACTCTGGATCTTCTTTAAATCTTCTATTTTAGCAGGCCTCTTCTGACTCTAAGCCAGTAGGGGAAGGTGGGGGTGGGAGGGAGTGGTATCACCTCATTATTACCAGGTGGGGATAGAAACCCAGGTATCCCACTTGGCCTCTGCTAATACCACTGGCTGGGAGGGGTAGGGTTGCCTCATTACTGTTCCCATGTAGCCTCCACTGACACCCCCAGTGGGGTGGGGGGCTCTTTAGCACTGGGATGAGGGAAATGCCCCAGCTCCCCACTTTTCTGACTGCCCTGGAGGAGCTAAGGGGCGCCTTGTTACAGGCAGGGCAAGTCTAGGCTCTCCACTTGGCCTATAACCAAGTCGTTGAAGCTCAGGGGAGCAGGGATTTCAATTAAGTATTGCTCCCCGTCACCCTCAATTTCCCTATGGTCTCTGTTACAGGAGCGAACCCAGCCACAGACCTAAGAGGAGCAGGCTTCCTTGCCCTCCTGCATCTGCTGTACCTGGTGATGGACTCAAACACCTTGCTGATGGCCCAGGAGATTTTCCGCCTGTCTCGTCACCATATCCAGGTGGGGCTTTGGTGGGAAGCCAGCAGAGAGGGCTGTGGAGCTAGGAGCTGGGCGCAGGGCTCTCCTGAGAAGCCAGGCGGGCCTCACAGGTAGATACCTGTAATTGCTGAGGCAAACCAGGAATGGTCTTCCCCTGTCAGCGCTGGAATCTGAGCTCTGCTACTCATTAGCGTGTGTCTCAAACATTGCCTCAGCTCCTCAGAGCCTTGATTTTCTCATCTGTAGCACGGAAGTCATGGCAACTTCGGCTGGATAGTTGGGGAAATTAAATGAGATAATGTACAAAAGTACTCTGTACAACTGTGCAATTAGTGTTTCAACCCACTGCCCTCCCCGAGGAGACCCCTGGCCCCAGAGGAGAAGATGACACATGGAGGTACTGCCAGGCCGGAAATGACTTCTATAGCGCTCAGGCTCTGTCCGTGCCTGCTCTCTGGGGTTGGGTTTGGTGGTTTTCCCAGGTAGTAAAAGGTGGTAGTCCTTCCATTTCAGAAAACAAATTTAACCTGTTTCTTGCCATTCGTTTACCCCAAATTCATGGGACCTGGAATTTATTCACTAAACAAATATTTATTCAGCATTCCCTGTGCTAGTTATTGTTCTTGGTGCTTGAGATACATCAATGAGCAAAACAGACAAAGATCCTTCTAGCCGAGAAGACAAGACAGTAAGCATAATACATAAATAAGTTCTAGGCTATATGAGGAGGTGATAAAGTGCTAAGGAAAAAGAACAAGTGGGGTAAGGTTAGGAAAATGTGGGGAGGGGATTACAGTATTTTATGGGGTGGTCACGGTAACTCTCATGAGAGGGAGAGACCTAAACCAAGCCTTGAGGAGGTAAGGATGTCAGCTACGCTGGTATCAGGGGAGAGCGTTCCACGCGGAGGGAGCAGCTACAGCCCAGGTCCCGAGGAGGGAGTGTGTCTGGCATGGAAAGGAATAGCGGGGAAGCCAGTGGTCGCGGAAAGAGGACGGGAGGGCAGTAGGAAAGAGGTCATAGGGTAATAGAGACCAGACGGCCTAGTGCCTGGTAGGCTATGGTAAGGACTTTTGATTTTACTCTGAACACAATGAGGGTTTTCAGCAGCCTGCAGACATGATCCAACTTGAAGTTTTTAAATGGATTCTACCAGCTGCCAGGTTAACAATAGTCTAGGGCTTTATAATCAAGTTAGAGATGATGGTGGTTTGGAGCAGGGTGTTTTCGGAGGAGGTGATGTGAAGTGGCCTGATGCTGGATGTAGGATCTTGAGCGTATAGTTTTCTGATGGATTGGACATAAGTATAAGAAAAAGAGAGGAGTCTGTGATGATTTGTAGCCTGAGCAATTGGAAAGATAGAGTGGCCATCAACTGAAATGGAAAGGACAGAGCAAGTTGGAGGGTCCAGTTTGCCGTATAAATTTTAGGTTGAGGTTATGCATGTTTGGTAAGAACACCACAGAAGTGATGTATCCTCCTCCGCGCCTCATATCGGGAGCACTTGTCAACATGCCTTAGTCCTGGTGGGGCTAGCCTTGATCACGTGGTTCAGGTGATATCGGCTGCATGACTCCACTGTAAAGTTACTGTTTCTCCCTTTGTAATTAATAACTGTCTTGAGGAAGATACTTTGAGACTGCAAATATCCTGTTTCTCCTCAAACTTCATTCTAATGGTGATTTTCTATTTCCCTCATTCTTCCTACATTTATTAATTCTGTAAGAATTAATAAATTTTGTAAGAAAGAATTATTTGTGCTCTTCTATTTATTTATTCAGTTACTTTTTATATCCGTGTGGACTCCAGGGATATTCATTTTACTCTATGAGTTATAACCCAATACTACCATTATTTATTTTGTTGCTCAAATTGTTCCATCTTTGGCCATTTTAGGAGTTCTTTCAGGGTGGTGTCTGTGCCCTTTCAACATATCCTATCCTTTTTGAGAGCTTTTTTACTTTCTGGACACCAATAGACAATCTAGGCTCATCTTGTATTTTCCCTGTGTGATTCCCAACCCTGGAATCAACCACTTCTCCAAAGAGCTCTTGTTTCCTTAATTGGGGAATGACATTTAGAAACCAAGATCTGAGCACTGGGTGTTCTCACTGTGTTAAGATCTCACTGCTGCTTCTCGGCCCTCTCAGTGGACAGAGCTCATAATGTAGGTGTGTCATTGGTTCACTCCCGATGGGGTGGGTGTGCTTGATGCCGCCCGAGGGAGAGAAGCCCGAGAATGAGTGGCTGAAGGTCAGACCTGCTACATTTTAATCAGATCATTTTATCTTAGAGGGCTGGAGTGGGGCAGGCCTGAGTTGCAAAAACAAGACTTGAATAACAGTGTTGTTGGCCATAGTATATCCTTAATTCTCAGGACCTCAGTTTCTTCCTTTGTGACATACGAACATAACTCCAGCCCTGTAGAATTAGTCTAAGTTGGAGGTAAGCTATGTAAAGTGCCAAGCACATGAGTCAGTCAGTGAGTGTTAGTTATCAAAGTAACTTTTGATTTCCATGAGTAAAAATACATTCTATACATCTTATATATAATACATATGTAAATACATCCTATGTTTTTTAAATCAGTTGAATACATATCTGTGTGTGTGCAGTACACTCATGCACACACACACACACACACACACACACACATCAGTACAGTAGATCCCTTTTGAATCCAAAACTTCTTAAATACAAAACAATCACACAGTTCCTGCCACCTGAGCAGTTTTTCATTTCTAATGTTTACTGAGTATCTTTATCTTTTTGAGGAAAACAGTCATTAGATCTTAAGGCTTCACATATACCTGTCTATTCCAGGAAACACTGAAAGAGGCAACACTGGGACTTCATAAGCATCTGGCCTCGAGCTATATCAGAACCCCACAAGTTGAGAATGTGGGCGTATTCTGTGGTTGTCATGATTCAGGGAGGTAATATCTGGGTGAGGTTTGAGAACTGTACTTGTTAGCTTATGAAACAATGCGGTCTCTTGCAGCAACACTGCTTTGTTGTAACAGACTCCCAGCGGTTGAGGAGTAGCTTAGCAATCTCTGGTCTGGCCCTCGTTTTAGCGGTAGGGAAATGGAGACTCAGAGTGGGGAAATAGCTTGCCCAAGGTCTCACAGCTAGTGATTTCCTATAAATCATCTCTGATCTCAGTTTCTCCCTTCCTGTAATTTATGAAGACTCTTATAAGACCTTCCTGCAGAAATATGGAAGCCAAGGTAGAAGGTTATTGCCAACTCAGAATCCCTCATTTCAAGGACAGGCTCAAATGAGGTGAGGGCACAGACCATGCAGATATCGGAGGGAGGAAGGGGTGTCCCAGGCACAGGGAACAGCAGGATGAGAGAGGAAGTACTGGGCACTTGATCTTCACGGACCCAGACTGACCACTTTCACCAATCTGTTTCTTATCCCTCCACCTGCTGGGAATTTGTATTTACTTCACAATATGTATGTCAGAAAATATGAAGGAAGAGTAGCTTAACACAATAAGAGGACTAGTGTAGGTGTCAGGAAGCTAGATGCTAGTTCCATCTGCAGTGTTATTATTTAGCTGTGAATTGAGGCAAGTCTCTGAACCTCTCTGGGCCTCAGTTTGCTCTTTTATGAAATAAACATAGATGTAAAGTTTTCAAAAAATATTAGTAAATCAAATCCCAAAATGTATTAAAAAAAACTGCACTATGGCCATGTTTACTCTTTCATGAAATAAGGGGTTTGGCCTAAATAATCCTAATATCTCTTCCAGCTTTATTTAGTAATTCCTTGAACTGTGAGTAATTCCAAGGTTTTAAAGTAAAACTTGAACTCAAGTGCTTGTGAATCTTGAACACACAGAATTTTCTAGGAGGCATGTATGAGATCAGAGTAGCAGCTGAGGAACATAGCCCTGCCAGCAGCCCGTGCTGTTTCTCTCTGAAGGGGAGAGCTAAAGTTTCAGGTACATCCTACTAATGGGGAATTGGCCCAAAACTACAAATGCTGGGGGGACCCCAGTACTCCCTTGAGAGAGGGCAGTGTGGAAGTACTTCGCTCCCGCTGTTCTGAGGAGTGTGGCAGCACAGACACACGGAGAGATGCAGGCCACATCGGGCTAACCTCTGGCAGGCAAGGAAGCACCTTATAGTAATATTTACTCACAACTATTTGTATAGCCCTCCATGCAATTTCCATCCATTATTTCATTCCAGCAATGGGACAAGCCTGCAAAGAGGTAGGGCAGAGATGGCCCTTCCAGATCTCCTTTTTTGCAGTGAAAGAATATGGGGATCAGAGAGATAAGAGTGTTTCTGCACAAAGCCGGGTGGCTAGTAAGTGGTGAAGCCTGGGACCCACGTCTGAAAGCTAGCTGGCGGCGGGCTCCTTATAGCCGCGACTCTCAGCCAGCCACACACTTCAGTCATCTGCGAAAGTGTGGATGCCCAGCACCCTCCCCAGAACTACTGGATTGGATTCTCCAGAGGTGGGACCATGTCAGCAGCAGCCGTGAAACATGATCTGATCTTCCCGCTTCAGTCTTCAGTGTTTAAGCCCAAATGTGAGGCATGAAGAGAAATGAAATTTTAAATGGAAACTCAAAAATGTCCAGGTCTAATTTCCTTTGCTTTTAGTCAGTTCCCTTAACACAGCCTCAGTGTAGTATTTTAGCTCAAAAGAATGCTGTGCAGGTCCAAGGGAACTGCTGAAGGAAAGGAGACGTTTAGATCCGAATTGCAGTTTTTCACTGCTTTTTTTTTTTTTTAAAGGGTGATTTTTTTAAATTTTATTTTATTGGGGAACAGTCATGGTCATTGGTTACACATTGCTTTCATGCTACAATGGCATAGTTGACTCTTTTAGAGAGGGCACAGCTTACAGTGGCCCATGCGGGGGTCAAACTGGCAACCTTGGTGTTATCAGCACCATGCTCTAATCAACTGAGCTAACCAGCTGCCCCTTCACTGCTTTTTAATAAGTAGGCTTTATAAGAATGTTCCCAAGAGTGAATGAACACTAGGTTCAAATCCTCTGTGAATTACGTTGCTACCATATTCTTGTTCCCATATTTATTTTTAGACTGAAAAAAATCAAGGGAGGTCCTTTTGTAGATCATATGTGTGATGACTGGGTGTTCACACTCTGTGTGAAATGTGCCTTCCTCACACCTTGTTACAATATCAGCACATTACCCATCTGACGTAAAAAAAATAAAAATCAAGGGAAGGGGGGATATTATGCAGGTATATATGATAATAGACAGTACATGAAGATATGAATGCATTGCTGCTGACCTCAGCCACACACATTGAGGCAATCATAATAATTATGAACATTTGTTAACACCTGCTTAGGCTGGTGCTATGCTTAGTATTTTGCACATGTGATCTAAATTCTCAGAGCAACTCTGTGAGGTTGGTTGTGGTGTAATAGAAAATGTAAACTATAGATAATAAAGTCTATCTCCTAGAGTTTTGTAATGATTAGTGTCTTGACTCCACCCAGCATGGTACGTGTGTCAGGGTCCCCAGGAACCCCCAAGTTCTATGACTCACTGGGAGGACTCACAGGACGTGGCATATAGTCATACTCACAGCTATGATTTAGTACATCCAAAGCAAAGTCTGCAAAAGAAGTACATGGGACAAAATCCATAGGAAACCAGGTGCAAGCTTCCAGGAGTCCTCTCGCAATGGAGTCACACAGTACACACTTAATTCCTCCAGGATCAAATTGTGCAACACATGAAATGGTGCCAACCGGGGGTTCTCATTAGAGATTCACTACCCAAGGTTTTTAATGGGGGCTGGTCATGCAGACGCCATCTGTCTAGCATGTACCAAAATTCCTGAATCACAGGGAAAGCAAGTGTTCAGCATAAGCCATACTATTTGCACAAGGAGTTTCGGCACAGTGAGTTCTGAGGGGTTGGTGGGAATCGCTCAAAATCCAAGTTCCCGTGTGCTACCCAAGGGCTAACCCTGTAAGCAAGCCTTTCTAAGGACAGCAGCCTCAGGCCTGCTGTGCTAACTTTTCTGCATGGCACTCAACGTTTATTTCCTTTTTGATTTTGAAATATAAGAAAGTTGAGTCTCATGGAGTTTGGGTGGCCTTCCTAAGGACACACAGCTAGCAGGTGGCAAGGCCAACATCTGGAATCCAGAGTCACAGAAGACAGTGAGAAAAACCTCTGTGGAGCCGGAAGACCCTCCACAAGTATAGTTCAGTCAGTGCTGTCAAATAGAACCTTCTGCGATGACAGAATACTAGATCTGCACTATCCAGTATGGTAGCACATGTGGCCACTGAGCACTTCAAATATTGCTGGGATGACTAAGGAATTGAATTTTAAATTTTATTTACTTTTTAATGAATTTAAATAGGGACCTGTGGCCAATTGCTACCATACTGGACAGCACAGTTCTAATGTAATGGAGTTTTCTTCTGGGGGACGCAAATGGAATATACAGACTTTGACTCTTGTTCTAAACTAAGGAATGCACTGATCTGTGTGTCCCTGTCAGTGAATGTCCTGTGTATATGCAACAGTGGAAATTAACATGTAACATTTGCAAATTGTTACAATTTGCAAAATTGTAAAAAAAAAAACCTGGAAAAAATACCTTGTCACTTGCTTGGGGGTTTTTTGTTGTTGTTATAAAAAAGGAAAGGATTAGCCCCTCCAAAAATAAAGCTTTGAGGGCTGGCTGAGTGGTGCATTGGTTAAGAGTTGGCTTGGGACGCCAGCTCTGAGCAACAGGGCCCCTGTTCAGATCCCACGAGGGCCAGTTACGGTGCGCTGTCTACAGCTAAGATGGTGAACAACAGCTCAACCAGGAGCTGGGCTGCCGTGAGTTGCCAGCGACGGTGTAGGCTGCAGTGGGGCTGGCTGGCAGCGGGTGTGAGCTTTTGTGAGCTGCCATGAGCCCCCATGAGTGGCCATCCAATGGCCAGCGAATGACTGCCTCACCCAGGAAGAGCATAATGATAATACCAACATGGGCCAGTGAAGCGATGTCCTCCACAACTAGACTGAAGAACAAAAGAACAGTAACTTGTCTGTTCCTGTTCCCCGATTCTCCAACGCTGTTCCAATTCCCCAATAAAATATTTAAATAAATAAATAAAGCAAGCTTTGAAGAGGACCCCGCCCCCCCGCCAGGGGATTCTGAGGCTCATCCTGGTGAAGTGCCCCAGCTGGACTCCAGGCCACCCCCTCTCAGGAGTTTGGTGTGCATGGCCAGCTCTCAGGCCTCTGTTACTGAGAGATGGGCTGTGCCATCAAGTGAAGGCTGACTTTCTGCCTACTTGCACCTTCTCTTATTTGCTTTTGGATGAAGTGCTTAATGAGCAGTGAAATAACCAGAAGCCTAGAGAAGGGGAGAAGAGATTTTAAGAACCTGTGGAGTTAGATAACTGGGTCTCACTCCTCTTGTGATCATCCTAACCCTAGGGGGCTCTGTGGTCCACGCGTGGCACACGGGTGGGTCTGGTGAAGGCCAAGGAGAGCTAATGGGTGGGATATTGAAGAGGCAGGAAAAGTAGCACAGGAGTTATACACACCAGCTTGGAAGTGAATTAACCTCAGTGGGAATCCTGGCCCCACCACCTTAGGAAAGTTATTTAAGGTCACTGAGCCTCAGTGTTCCCATCTGTAAGATGGGAAGATCATTGTGACAATGCAGTGTAAGCATTCATAATATCAGCTGCTGTCTCTGGGCTATGACTGCTATTACTGCTTGCAGGCCAAGTTAGGCTGTAGATAACAGGAAACACAGAAGGCGAGGCCTGGGTTGCCACTGACCCAGTGCCCCTTCCATTTCAGCAATTCCCCTTCTGTTTGATGTCCGTGAATATCACCCGCATTGCAATCCAGGCCTTAAGGGAGGAGTGTCTCTCCAGGTGAGTCCCTGCACTGCTCTCCCCTCGCTGGCTGATGAGCGGGGCCCAGCAGGGCCCGGCTCCCTCCCATCCCTGCCTCATTCTCCCCAGCTGTCTTCCTCACTGGCTGGCTCCTGGGGGGCCTGTGCAAAGGACCCATGCACCAGTGTCCCAGCCCATCTCCTCCCCAACGCTGACCTCAGATGTGAAGGCTGCCTGGGGAATGGCTCCCCTGGTGGAATGGGGCAGGGGGCGGGGCACCCAAGTGTCAGCCTTTGTCCGCCACTGAGCAGGTCACCTCCCTGTCCTGCAGGGAGTGTAACCGGCAGCAGAGAGTGATCCCCGTGGTGAACAGCTTCTATGCCGCCACCTTCCTCCACCTTGCGCATGTCTGGAGGACGCAGCAGAAGACCATCTCAGACTCCGGCTTTGTCCTCAAAGGTATGCTCTCTTGTCTGGGGAGGCCGAGCTCCTGAACCCTGTGTCCCCAGGCTCAGGGACCCCAGGGTGGTTGTAGACTGGTTTCGGCTGCAGTTCCCTTCCAGCCCACCTTCTGGAGCCTGCTGGTTCTCCTTTCTCTGCACCCCTCTCCTTCCTTTCTGGCCTTACACCTATGGTGATATTTTCTGAATCAAAAGTTGGGTCCCACAGTTGGACTGACTCCAAAGTTACAGTTGTCCTGGACAAAGTAAAGTATGTGGTCGCTGTGGCTCTGTCTGGTTCCTTGACCTCCCTCTGGTGAGCTCCCCATCTTGGAAGTCCCCTTCACCTTCTCTCCAGAGGACCCGGGTTGGGGTCACTCCCTAGAGCTGCTAGGCCCTGACGGTTGTGCAGGCCACTGCCCCCTCCAGCCTCGCTCCCCACTGCTCTGTTCCAGACTTGGAAGTGTTGGCCAAGAAGAGCCCAAGGCGGCTGCTCAAGACCCTGGAGACCTACTTGGCCGGAGTATCAAAGCGACAGGCCTCCCTGTTGGGAGCACAGAAGTGCTGTGGGCCACAAGCCCCTCACTCCAAGGACCTCACTTTCACAGGCGTGTGTGACCTGCTACCAGACTCATCCGAAGGCACATGGCTGAGCTGATCACCCCCAGAGGCTGACGGATAGAAAGACTTACCTGCTGGGCCACAGGGGGTTTTGGAGGGCGCATGGCGAACCATGTCAGGATCAGCCTGGCTGAGCCAAGCCCCTTCCCATCTCAGCAGAAAGGATGGAGGAAGCTCCTGGGCCTGCGCGGGGAAGCCTCATCCTCATGAGACATCAGGTGCAGTTAGACTTGACCCACTCCCCACAGACCTGCTTCCAGAACAAGAACTTGGCTGTAATCCTGGTTGGGCTACAGCTTACCGAGTTGGGTTCCAGGTCATCTCAATGAGTGAATGGCTTCAATGAGTGGGAGGAGCCCCATCTGGATGTCCCAGGTGTCCCCACATTGAAGGACATTCCCAAGTAGAGACACCAGAGTTCTGCCTCCTGGGCAGCAGGCCTGTCAGGCCCCTGGTGGTCGTAGGACAGGAACCAGACAGGGACATATAGTAGCTAGAATGTGAAGGGAGAAGATAGTGGTGGCAGCAGCCATGGGGGAGGGGAGGACAGCATGAACCAGAGCAAGCTGCCCGGGTCTGCAGCTGGGCCTGCCTTACTCTGTCTGCTCCCTCCACCAGGCCAGTATCAGGGCCCCTCTGGGGTTTCTGGCCTTGCACTTACCCCACTCCCCTCTCCCCATCCCTCCTCCCTGCTGCTTAAGACACAGAACAGGGCCTTGGGGCCTTCCGTGAGGTATCTCCATTGCTGTCCATCCTAATTGCCCACCAGGTGCACTTCCCCCATGGAAGCTGTGCAGCTCCCATCAGGGATGGTTTCCTAGCCTGGTGGAGGGAAGGAGGAAATTCATACACCAGCAGTTTTTGAATAAAAGAATTGTTCTGGGTTAAGGATTCCAAGTGTTTTCCTCCAAGACAAGCCTTGCATCCTCTGGGGCCCTGGTGGCTCTGGTTCTTGTTAAGATTGACTGGTGTCGTGTCCACACGGGATTTTTCCTACATTTGTTTCTGGGAAAGCTGGCTCTGTTGCTCCATTCGCAAAAGGGCCTCCAAGCCAGGCTATCCTGAGCTCAGGAGCGGGGAGCAGGTGAAAGCCCCACGACACTGCTCTGCTGTCCTCTGCCTTCCCTCAAGTAGAGCCATGGAAGACTACTGTCTAGCCCCTGTGGGCTTCTCCAAGTCTGACCCTCTCGAAGTAGGGCCCATCACAGAGGTGGGGATGACGTATGGCCACCCAAGTATGGAAGGGAATCCCCACTGCTGTCAGCAGGATACCTCAAGGTTGAGGCTGGTAATGGACCCTGCAATTTGCCTTGTCTTCTTTGCCCAACCTGAACAAATCCTTTGCCTCCCTCACTTCCCCGTCTGGATGCTTAGCTGACCAGCAGAGATGGCAGGGAGCTTACTGGGCCTGGTGGAGTTGGAATACAGAAAAAAAGGCCACAGCTCAGCCTCCACTTGGGAGCAACAGGTTCAGTGGTTCCTTTTCTGCAGATTCCTTTCGCTTGCTGATACCGAAATGCTAACCCAGCAGTCATGACCAGGAATGCTCAGCCTGCAGCACAGCCAGGAGCCAGTCCATGTGGGCCTCTAGCTGGAGGGGAGGCCAGCGGCCTCTGCAGGGGCCCTTTCTTCCCCAGTCATTCCCTGTGTGATGCTCTCCAGACAACTGAGTGCTTCCAGTTTCAGATCTTGGGCCATTAGCAATTAACAGCCCAGGGATTAGCTTGCAGGGTTCTGCGGATGGACTATTGAGAAGGGTCTAAATCCTCTAAAAGTAGATGCAAAAATCTTAATCTGCATTATTTTGGGTGGGAAAGGCCTAACTAGGCCTTTCATGGGAGACTTAAAATGCTTCACAACCCTAAAAGTAACAGAACCATGAATTTAGTGCAGCCCTTCCTCCCTTTTTAAAAGCCATCCAAGTCATTCCTGGCATATGTTCTGTGTCAGTCATCAGGTGGATGACTCGAGAGAAAGATGGGGGGTATGCAGGGAGCCGATTTTTCTGTGCTTCTCGATCAGAATTTCTGTTTGGGATGGAAGAATCCAGCATGTCAAAGCTCAGAAGGCACAGAGCCCTGAGGGCCGATGGGTGAGGGTGGGTCAGGAGGGCCACAGCCCTGGCAGGCCTCAGGCTCGTCCAGGCTCACACAGCTCCCGCCTTGCTCTTGGCACCCTGGGTCATGCCCTCCAGGATGGGACCATATCAGGGCTACTCCATTCTTCCTCCCATTTAGCTATCTAGCCTCTTGGATGGCTAGTCCAGCCACCACGCCATTATACAAGAGAATGAAATAAGGCCTAGACATGGAAAAGCAACTTCCCCAGCCTGAAACAGAAGCAGAGTGAAAACCAGAACCCGTGACTCAACAGCAGTCCAATGCTTTTCCAGCAGCCCCATGGTGGCCCTCGGCCCATCAGCCTAATATTATACATGATGCAATGTGCCTGGGAAGTGACAAGCCAGACTTGCACAGTAGTGAAAAGTTGTACTCTTGCTTGGTGAGCATATGTCATTTGGAAGCTGCCTTGCAATGGCTTATTAGGGCGGCTAAGGAAAAATTGGCTTGAACGGAGATGCATCCCCAGCCTGTTGCTTTCTCCCAGTTGGGAATGTGAAACTGAACTGAACCCCTGGCTGAAAGTGATCCTGAGGCCTGGCACTGTGCCACCTCCCTATTGGGTTCACAGCAGTACCCGCCAGGCCCACTGGGACTCCTGGCCCCTCTGCCTAATCATGCAAAGCCAGCTCTGGCCCCTTGGAGTGAGGGTATTGTCACCTGGGTCCTACTCCACCCCAGCATGGGGATGAGCCCCGGCGAGTAGGTGGGGCAGAAAGCATGAGCCCAGGGCAGGCAGTGCAGGCAGAGTGGGGAAAGCCTAAGTCTCCTTTATTGAGCATCTGCAGGGGCACCTCTGCACTGACCAGGCAGTGGGAAGAGAAGCAAGCAGTCAGGAGGTGGGCACAGGGAGATGCCCGTCTCACTTCCAGTCCTTGAAGAATTGCTTGAAGATGGGACTCTCGCGGCCCTGGGGCAGAATCTCTACCTGCAGGGACGGCAGGGGACAAGTCTTGCTCACAAGGTTGCCAGGGAAGGCTGGAGCCATGGAGGAGGGTGCTGTGCACCAGGCCTGAGGCCACATGCCACCCAGGCCAAGGATGCTTCTCCAGATAAGCCAAGAGATGAGAAAGATGACAGGGACACGCTTCAAGAACATAGGCACACAGTCTGATAGATGTACTGATTATACATGAGCCTTATCAGCTCCCCTCGGAATGACCTGTGGGGTTGCTGTGCTGGGGGGAGAAAGGGCGGTACCGGCTAGGGACAATGGCCCAGAGGAGGCGCACAAGCTGTCCAAAGACATACCTGCCTCTCTGGGCTCCCAGAGGAGTCTTGTCCCACATCCTCTTAGAAAATAATATATACTTTTAAATTCTGAAGGATCGAGAAGGGCTTTCCCAATGGGTGGGTCTGGTAGGGAGGCCCAACTATTCCTGACTGTGCCCAAGGTTTTCTGTTCTTCTTGTGTAGTCTGAGGGCAGGAGGCCACAGGAAGGGCCCAGGACGAGGGTTTGGGCCCAGGGCGTCTGCTCACCTGAGTGTGTGGGGCGTATTTCATGCGGGAGATGAAGCCCTCCGCCACCTGGAGTGCTGCCTGCCGCTCCTTCTCATTAGCTTTTCGCCCTGGATCATAGGAAGAAGATTTTTAAAAAAGAACAGGGACCCTCTCTAGCCCACATCCCATCTTTCTCGAGGAAATTTAAGGCGGTCCACAGAACAGCTGGCGACTTTTAAAATAAATGGGCCAGGAGGTGGTAACAATGCTGAGGAGCTCTTTGGAGGTAGGAAGTCAGCCCCCTGAGACTGCTCCCAATCTGGCAGTTCCAAGCCAGAGGAAAACTGCCCTTCTGCCAGCTCATCAAAACCTTCTGCTCATGGGGCCGGCAGAATGGCTCAGTTGGTTAAGAGTTAGCTTAAGAGTGCAAGCTCTGAGCAACAGGGCTGCCGGTTTGATTCCCACATGGGCCAGTGACGCTGCGCCTGAGCCGCTGATCTGCCAACAGATGGCAGGATGGGTCAGCTGATGAGAGCACGTGCTCCTAACAACAAGACTGCCTGTTCTATGGTGGGCTATGCCCACCCGCAACTAAGACTAAACTCGGCACCTTGAGCTGAGCTGCCACCAGGATGGCTCAGTGGATAGAGTGTGCGCTCTTAACAGCAAGGCTGCCGGGTTGGATTCCCTCATGGGATGGTGGCTATGCCCACCTGCAACTAAGATTATAACACGGCACCTTGAGCTTAGAGACCACGAGTTGCCGACGGGCAGCCAGATGGCAACTGGCGCCCTCCACAACTAAGACTGAAGAACAACAACTTGGCTGGTCCCCCTCCACAATTCCCCAATTAAAAAACAAACAAACAAACAAACAAAAAACCTTCTGCTCAGACCAGGGCCCCAGGGAGAGTCGAGAACTAGTGTTCTCCTGGCATCAGACGTTAGAGCCATGGCCCCTGCGCAGGATACCTCACATCCGGGGTCTGCCAAGTGTAGTGTTATCAAGCCTTCTTTGTAAACCTGACTAGGACCAAAGGGCATGATTTACTCCATTCTTACTCCCATAATGCCAGGTAGCCGACATTAGCCTAATAGTTATGTCAACTAAGAGCATATAAAAAGGAAAACTGCAGAGTTATCCATTCCCTCCTGTAGGCAGTCCCTTTAACGCAAAATGGACTCCAGCTTAAGGCATTTTTCCAAAATAATGATATCATGGAGTCACTTGTGGTAAGATCCACCAAGATTTAATATCTAACTACTGCAATTTCAGCCTCTCCCAGCAGAATTTTAAAACCAATCAGCCTGGAATGTCTGGTCAGCACTAGTGAGATAATCTGCCTGATAAGAACCCTGCCTTCCCCTAAGTAAAGGTAACCCTGCCTAAAATAATCCACTCTTTTCACTTCCTTGTCCCACTCTCTTCCTGCCTCTAGACGCCTTCCATTTTGTACAGCTCCTCTGAGCACCCTTCTATTTACTAGATGGGATGCGCCTGATTCATAACCTTTAAATTTAGATGTTTACTCAGTAGAATTTTTATTCATTAACACTAATTGCAGAACCAGCTCAAACTGACCTTATCCTGTTTCTAACAAGACACAACTCAGAACAAGACCGTTAAGTTATGCAGCCAAAATATGCACAGAGGAGAGAATTCTGGCTTTCCATAACACCCAGAACCAAAGTTTTGTCCCCACCCCCAATGAAATCAAAACGCTAGGACTTGGGCCGGCCGAGTGGCTCAGTTGGTTTAAGAGTGCAAGCTCTGAGCAACAGGGTCGTCAGTTCTATTCCCACATAGGCCAGTGAGCTGCACCCAAGCTGAGCTGCCGCTGAGCTGCCAACAGGTGGCAGGATGGCTCAGCTGGTGAGAGCACGTGCTCCTAACAACAAGATTGCCTGTTCGACTCCCGCATGGGATGGTGGGCTACGCCCACCCACAACTAAGATTGAACACGGCACCTTGAGCTGAGCGGCCATGAGCTGCTGATGGGCGGCCGGATAGCAACTGGACTTGGAGCTGAGCTAGCGGTACCTTCCGCAACTAAGATTGAAGGACAAAACTTGGCTGCTCCCCTTCCCTAATTCCCCAATAAAATCTTTAAAAAAAAAAAGCTAGGACTTGACTGGAACTCGATCACCAGAACCCTTTAGGAAGCAAAGGGTCTACTGTCCAGGAAGATCTGGTGCTGAAGCCCTCCCACTGAAATTTGCCCGACAGCACTTCCACGTATCTGCCTGTCCTTCCCTAACCCCTTAAATTCCACCCCAAACCCTGGATCGCTGAGACAGATTTTAGCCTTGCCTCCTGTCTCCTTGCCAGTCAACTTCGCAATAAAACTTTTTCTTTTCTCAAAAACTGGTGTCATAGTTACCCCTCAGCCACCTCAATATGGTGCTGGGTAGAGGGGATACCTGGGTTTCAACCTCTAAATAGGGGAGACTCCAGCCTCTGGATAAAGGCCCTTTTATTTTTTATGCTGATTAGCCATTTTAAACCAAATAATTTAAAAACCCTGATCTTAAAAAAAACACAAAGAACTGGTGCCATAGTATTGGCTTCTATGCACGGGACAGCAAGCCCTTGCTTGGTAACACCAGCCAGGCTATAAAATGCAGTTAGCTGCAATGTATCTCAGATTAGTGTGCTGTATACTTCCTGTGGTTTGACCAGCTACCTGAGATACTTCTCTCCTGGCTCCCAAGTTTCCTGTTTTATTCTCCTCTGGTTTCTTTCCAAAATGGTTTGGTTCTTCACTTGGGATTAAATATGAGGTATGATCAAACAATATGGTGAATGTTTAAATTAAAAAAAAATTATTCCAGTAAAAGACATGTTGCCATTAATCCCCCTCAAAATACTTCATTTCGAACACACTTATCCCATCATTCTTGCCACTTTCTGAAGCAGTTCTGGAAGTCCTCTTTTGTGTCTTTAGTTGTGCTGTCATGGCTGCCTCGATGTCCTGAGTCAATTCAAAACATTTACCATTCATGGTCATTTTGACTTTAGGGAAGAGCCACAAGTTGCACGATGCCAGATCTGGTGAATAAGGTGGATGAGGACGCACCATAGTATTTTTTTTTTTTAAGATTTTTATTGGGGAATTGGGGGGATGGGAACAGTGTTGCGGAATTGGGGAAAGGGGAACAGACAAGTTGCTGTCCTTTGTTCTTCAATCTAGTTGTGGAGGTTGTTGCTTCACTGGGCCAAGTTGGCACCATCATTGCGCTCTTCTCTGGCGAGGCAGATCAGTCGCCGGCTTCTGGACGGCCGCTCACTGCGGCTGCTGGCCGCTCACGCTGGCTGCTGGCCACACACGGTAGCCCATGGCAACCCACTGCCACAGGGACTGCAGCCCACTCCGTCGCCGGCGACTCACGGCAGCCCAGCTCCAGGTTGAGTTGTTGTTCAGCATCTTAGCTGTAGAGGGCAGTGTCACTGGCCCTCATATGTGGGATCCGAACCGGGGCCCTCTGGCATCCCAAGCGAGTTCTTAACCATCGCGCCACTCGGCCGGCCCCATAGTATTTTTATTTGACAGAAATTGCTGTACCAGAAGCGATGTGTGACATAGAGCATTGTCATGATGGAGGATGAAGTAATGACACTCACGAAAGAGAACTTCCAGAACTGCTTCAGAAAGTGGCAAGAACAATGGGATAAGTATGTTCGAAGCAAGGGGGAGTATTTTGAGGGGGATCAATGGCAATGTGTCTTTTACTGTAATAAATTTTTTTATCTCAACATTCACATTTTTTTATCACACCTCGTACACTTCTGGTGGGCATCTGAGAGCCACCCATGCTTAGAATTGGTTCCAAGGGGAAGGTATCCTGTGGCAGAAGGGAAAAGGCAGCCCCAGTAGCACAACGCCCCTCCACCCCCCACTTCTAGCACACACACTCCTTAACTTAGAAACCTCCCAGGCAGCTTTCTGCTCCAGGCCCTTCCCTGAGGCGAACAGTATTATCTATTGCCTAGTAGCAGCCATCCTTAGAACGCCTAACACTTCTCTATCTTCCTGACCAGGCTGGGGCTGCGAATTTCTCTTTGCCTTGGTTGACCCCACAGATATTTCTTGAGGAAGTATTATACCATCAAGATACTAGAGACAATATGGTCGCTGCTTTCAAGAAGTTTATAATCTGGTCAGGGAGGTAAGACATGCTCAAGAAAAGACAAGTCAGGAGACGGTACTAAGCTCTCAGGATCCCTCAGACACTCAGTTCTGTCTCAACATTTCAGAGTGAGACCAAGGAACAAGCTTCTGCATAACAGTGTTTCTATTTCCAACCAATACAATCTCTTGGAAAGATGGGTTCTACCCGTTCACTACCCACTGCATACAGTGAGATTGAATTTCTCTAAAATTTCTGTCACACTTCAAGGCAGACTGTCAGGATCAGTGGTCTCAACAACCCTGAAGGCCTAGGGGTGCTCTGTGTCAGGGTTCCCAGAATGAGGTCCCTGGACCTGCAGCAAGGCCTGGGAGCCAGTTAGTTTTGCAAAGTCTCAGGCTCCGGCCCAGACCTAGTGCTTTGGAATCTCAGGGGGCAGGGGCAGCTACCTGTCTTCACAGGCCCTCAGCCCTCAAGTGATTCTGAGGCATGCTCAAGTTTCAGAACGTTTGCCTAGAATCTAGGGCGTGGGAACAGCAAAGGCAAAACCCTCAGTCCAGGTGTCAGGTGTGGAGTATCCAGGCGCTCTCTCGGAGGCTGAATTTTAAAAGCACCCAAGCAGGCTGAGCCCTCCGGGGTCAGAGCAGGCTGGGGTAGAGAAGCCACACGTACCCTTCCAGATGTAGATCTTGCCACAGAGCCCGTTGTCCAGCACAAAGCAGTCATCAGGTATCAGAAGCTCAAGGGCAAAGGGGCTGGAGTCTGCCACCTTGGTCAGGTTCATCTGTCCAGTGGCATCAGAGATCTGGGGGGAGGGCGTGTCCAAATAATATAAATGCAGCCACTTTGAAACGGAGCAGGAGCTGCCATCCCAGAGGAATTGCTTTGAACATCTTATACCTCAAACCTTTGGAATGTTAAACGGGGCAAAATAACCTTTGGACTAGGCCTAAGCAACATTGTGTTTCAAATAACTGTTTACAAAGGTAACAAGAAAGCAAATATGAAGACTATCAGACAAAAATGAAAAACATGCTTTAGAATTAGTATCACTATGTTATCTGCACCTTCCCTCTACTGATGTAATTGCCCCCTTTCCCTTTCTCATAAATACCCATTGCCTTTGTCTCCTAATCAGAATACTATTTGGGTTTCTGCCTGGATCAATCAGTATGTCCAGAAGAGCTATTCTTTTGATCTCAAATAAATGCTTGTTGCCTCTCACTTTGAAGGCCTTTTTATTTTTAGCTTAATAGATGAGCAGTGCTGGATCACCCTCTTCCGCCCAACACACAGCCCTAACTAACCTCTGCCCAAGAAGTAGGCTGAGGCTGCCTCCCTGCACCCCCGCCCCCACCCACCACCCATGCGCCAGGAACAGACAGACGGGGGACAGGGAGAGAAGCACTAACAGGTAAATCCCAGGCCGCCCCCACCCTTCCCATCATCTTCATCACTGCAGCCCAGAGTCCCTGATTCCATTTGGAAATTAAATGGATTCCAAATTACAAATAAATGCAAAGAATCCAAAAAGTAAAGCTCAACATCTCCTTCTCCAAGAAGGGGCTGGAATTGAAGTGGCATTTATCTCCTCAGGAGGGCCTGACACCCACCCACTTCCCATCCTCCTCTCACTCCTAGCCCTAGATAAACCACCTGGTGCCCAGCCCAGACTTCCCGCTTCTCTCTCCTCTCCCCTCAGCCCCTGGTGCAGCAGGCTCCCACCCTCTCCTGGTTCCAGGGCAGACCCGGAATGCCTACCTTGTACAGAGCCGCAGCCTGGGCATTAGTTTGGTCAGCTGTGAGGTCTTCTTCAGGATTGCCCTCCTTCAAAGTGGGCTTGGGGCCTAGGACCTGCAGGGGCCAAGGAAAGACCAGGTTCCCAGGGATTTCTGGGCACCTGTCCCAGACCTTCCGAACCCATCATGCCCAGGGCCACTGCCTCTGATGGGGCAAACTGTCCTACACAAGGCAGGTGAGTAAGGTCTGGGTCCATGCCACCTCACCTACCAGGCCACTGGTCCACCTGCCCACAGGGGTACTTTACTCTGAATCACACCAAGGCACCCTATGAGCTGGCTGCAGCCCTGAGCAGTGTCGCAGATGCCCCCGCCCAGTCCCCCACGGGCCACCCTCATGCGCCCAGCTGATCACCGCTTCTCTTGGTAGCTTCCAAGCAGAGGCGACCCACCCCAACAGCCCCTCCACCTGGATCATGTCGGCAGGCTCCTCCCCATCGGTGATGATCTCCACCTGGGCCTTGCCCTGCCGCTCACTGTCCCGGATGGCCAAGGCCAGGTCCCGAGCCTTATTGCGCTCCAGGATGTTGGACTTTCCACCACTCCAGACAAAGATGTTCTGAAGAGAAGCGGGAAGCTCAGGTTAAAAGAAGGCAGGAGGAGCGCCAAGGCTTCTTTGAGAATGGTGATGACACACTCTGTTAAGAGTGTTTCTCTGCCCAGCCCCCCACCTCCCTCCTGCTTTACTTTTCTCCACAATATATATTTCCACATCTTTATCTTGTTTATACTCTATCTCCCCTGTCTAGAAAGTAAGTTTCATTAGGGCATGAGTGTTTTGTGTTGTTTTGCTTTGCTTTGTTCACTGCTGTAGGCCCAGTGCTAAAACAGAAACTAGCACATATTTCAGCACAAAATATTTTTTTATTGAATGAATGAATGGGTGAATGCCATCCTTGAGCATCCCTGCCAGGCACATCCCTCGTCACCTCCCCTGAGCTCGTCGTCCTGCCTCCATTGCACTGCTTCTGGTCTTCCTTCCAAACAACTCCTGGGTTGACCTTCCTGTCCAAAGTTTTCACCACAGGATGTGGCCCACACTCCTCAGTCAGTCTCCTCATGACCTGGGTCTCACCCTCCTTAGCAATTTTCACTCCCATGGCTCCTGTTCCCACCCTGTACCTGCTGTCAACACTCATATCTACATCCTTTCCCACCTCAGTGCCTCAGCTCACTTGTCCTTTGCCTGGAATGGCATTTCCCCTCTGTGAAGGTCTAGTCAAATGGCACATTCCTAGGACAATGGCTTTGGTGCAGGCTAGACAGCCCTTCCCGGCCCAAGCTCCCCCAGCACATGTCACTGCCTCTCTTAACCTTTTTTTTTTTAAAGATTTTTAATGGGGAATTGGGGCATGGGAACAGTGCTGGGGAATTGGGGGAAGGGGA